GTTCAGAAAATAGACACATTTAGCAGCAGGCAGAATTTTCTATACTTGTTCACGAAAGATGATGGTTAGGAAAGTCCATCTGTCTCAACCATGTCAAATATAAACTAAAAGTAACACTGCATAGGTAAACCCCACTATGTCTCCATGCAGAAGACAGATTGATCCTGGGAAAATGGCAGCAGATTGTGATAGTCCTAACCACATGGTATCTCCAGTTGCAACTCTTGTACTAGATATGATGGAGGTTAGCATAGGGAATAGTTTAGCTTGGTTTGGGCTATGCACACACACTCATCTTTTAGTAATGTACTTGGAAGCCTGAGTCTCTTATGTGCATGTACTATACTTTTCTCTGAACAAAACATCCAGCCACCTGTTAGCAAGCTAGGGACCCATGTGCATAAAGCTCTCCCACCAGAATGGTGGAATAAGTATCTCCCCCCTTAATAACTGTTAAACTTGGACAGATTCTACTAGGTCATACTCCACCACTTAGGTAGGGTAAGAGAGTAGGAAGGCTAACCAGTTTTGAATGCATGTACATGTACACTAAGGCAAACTGTTTCCTTAAAGTGAACCTTCAAGGAAAATCCCATTTACCAAATATGCCTGTGCATAGATGAGTGTGCATACGATCATAATCAGATACAACATGGGAGGGGCCATGGACAGCAGAGAAATGGTTATGTAAATTTGATGCAAGCAAAATAGAGACCACTCAATCTATGCCCCTAGTAACCAAACTCCTCTTGAATCCCATAAAAGAAAGCCCCAAACAATAATGGGGCCACTTAAATACCTTCACTCTGTGACCTGCTGTCAATCTTGACTGTATTCCTTTTTAACCTGTACTGTAATTTCCTTAAATTTTTTTTTTTTTTTTTTTTTTTTTTTAATTTATGGTGCTAGAGAGATGGCTCCGTGGCTAACAGCACTTGTTGCTTTTCTAGAGGACCCAGGTTTCATTCCTAACACCCACATCAAGCAGTTCACAACTGTAACTCCAGTTCCGGGGGAGCTAATGCCTTTTGATGGGAAATGTACTGAGTATGTTTATCTTATTGTTAAATAAAATACTGTTTGGCCAATGAGACAGCAAGTTAGACGGGACTAGGAGTCAAAGAGGATTCTGGGAAATGTAGTAGAGAAGTAGTGATCCAGGCAGGAAGTGACATAGCAATGAGACTCATATTTAAAGAAAGAGAAACAGGAAGCGTCCCTCTTTTCCCCTCCGCTCCTGCTCCAGCGGCACAATGTGATCCACTGGCAAGGAGGGACGCCAATAAGGCGTCCGATAAGATGTCTTATAAAATATATAGGTTTATGATAGTTAAGACTGAGCTAACAGATGAGAATCCTAGTCATTGGCCAAGCAGCATTGTACCTAATACAAATTTTTGTGTATTCATTTGGGCCCTAACTCAGGCGGATGGCTGGCATAAAGCTCACTCAATGGCGGTGGGGCTCCGGCGGTTTTGGCAGAAAGATTTATCGTAACAGCCTTTGGCCTCTGGCGAATTTGAATAGGAATGACCCCCATAGGCTCACGTTTGAATGCTAGTCATTAGGGAGTGGTGCTACTTGAGAGGAATTAGGAGGAAGTGTGTCACTGGAGGTGGGCTTTGGTGTTTCAAATGCTCAAGCCAGGCTCAGTGTCACTCTTCTTCCTGCTACCTGTGGATCTGATGTAGAACTCTCAGCTGTTTCTCCTGCACCATGTCTGCCTGCCTGCATGCTGCAATGCTTCCCATCATGATGAAAATGGACTAAACCTCTGAAACAGTAAGCTAGTCCCAATTAAATGCTTTCCTTTATAAGAGTTGCATGGGGGGCTGGAGAGATGGCTCAGAGGTTAAGAGTACTGACTACTCTTCCAGAGGTCCTGAGTTCAATTCCCAGCAACCACATGGTGGCTCACAGCCATCTATAATGCGATCTGGTGTCCTCTTCTGACATTTAGGCAGAACACTGTATAGATAATAAATAAACCTTTTATTTAAAGTAAGGGATTACCATCCTACAATCCACACTGCCAGAGAAACTAGTAAACAAGGAAGACCCTAAAAGAGACAAACTTTGTCCCCTGGAGAAGGGGAAGGGGTCACCATCCCCTGAGCAAATTGAGAACATGGGAAGAGGGGGTTGGAAGCTACGAGACAAATACAATGAATGAAAAATTGTCAAAGAGCCGTCATGTAATTCAATCTTGTTTGTAATTCAAATTATATATATATATATATATATATATATATATGCAGATTATTAAAAAAAAAAAGAGTTGCATGGTCATAGTGTTTCTTCACAGCAACAGAACACCAATACCTGGTATGTACCTGCTGACCTGGCAAAGGCTTTGTGTCCATGTTACCAATAAGGACCACTAAAAGCAGTTTGTTTACAGATGGTCAGGCCAGACCATCTGTAAAGGTGTTTACAGACAGGCCATTACTGACCTGTCTCAGGGATGTACTCTCCAGCCTGTCACAGTTTGATTCACAGCAAACTGGACTGCTTTTCCATTCCATGAGATACTACACTGGCTCACTCATTGAAGACCATATGCTAACTGGACCAAGTAAACACAAGTTCTGTTGTGTGAACTTTTCCTGGGAAGATGTAAACAAATGTCTACTTACCCAGATAGGATATCACAGCAGATCAAAGCAACGGTCCTCTCACAAAGGCCAACATGGCCAACCGATGAGTTGGAATTCCTTAACGGTTCTTGGGTAAGCCCCAAAGAGCTGCCCCACTGAGAAGGCTCACACCAACACAAATGAAGACTTCCCATGGTTGTATAGATGGAGTCCCTGTCTTCACTTAACTTTCCTTACTCTATATATACTCTAGCAGTCTAGCTCCTTCTGAGACCAGATTATCTTCAGCTAGGTCAGAACTACATTCAGTTGTCAGGAAAATGCAGGTTAGAGGGGCTAAGGTCTAAGGTGATGGAAAACACTCTATTTTGAGTGTCTCTCTCAATGAGTCACACCTACTTTGATGAAGATGGCAACAGGTGTTATGCTCAAAGGACACTGTTCTTCAAGTGTCAACAACTGTACTGTAAGATATTTACTAGCCAGGTAGTGGAAAAATCAATCCAACAAAAAATTCAGCATACTACTATAGGATACATGGCAGCATTTTTTTGTTTTTGTTTTTTTTGTTTTGTTTTGTTTTTGTTTTCTTTGTTTTTTTTTTCCAGACAGGGTTTCTCTGTGAAGCTTTGGAGCCTATCCTGGTACTCGCTCTGGTGACCAGACTGGCCTGGAAATCCCAGAGATCCACCTGCCTCTACCTCCGAGTGCTGGGATTAAAGGTGTGCGCCACCAACGCCTGGCCATGGCAACGTTTTTTAGGTGAGCAATTAAGTTGTCCAATTTGGTCTTTCTACAATCAAGAAAGAGGCACAGCATCTGACAGACTTTGGAGTTAACATATTCACCTGGACAGGTGACTCCAGCCCATTTTCTAGGTGCCCTGAAAACCTGCTAGTCTTGAGAGGAATGCAGAACAAGGGGGCTTTGCACAGGCGCAGGCTGCCATGCAAAATGCTCTGTTGTCTTGGTCATATGGGTCAAAAGGTCCAATGGTCCTTAAAGGGGCAGGACAGAAGCTGTTTGGGGCTTCCTCTAGCTGATCTACATTGCAAGCTTTTGGTTTTTTGTTGTTTGTTTTTTGGTTTTTTGAGACAGTTTTTCTGTTTAACAGCTCCAGTTGTCCTGGAATTCAGTTGGTAGACCAGGCTGGCCTTGAACTCACAGACAGCTGCCTGCCTCTGCCTCCCAATTGCTGGGATTAAAGACATATACCACCACTGCCCAGCTAAGTTTTATTAATTTTTTAAAAGATTTATATATTTCATGTGTAGGAGTGTTTTGCCTATGTGTATGTCTGTATACCATGTGTCTAGTGCCTTCAAAAGTCGGAAGAGGGAATTGGATCCCCTGGAACTGGAGTTATGGAAGGCTGTGAGGCACCATGTAGGTGCTGGGAATTGAACCAATTCCTCTACAAGAGCAACAAGTGCTGAGTAGTCCCAGCTGGGCCTCCTGCCTCTGACACTTTTTAGAGCAACTTCTTCCCCAAAAGGTGTTAGTATCTGTTCTCCCAGTGTGAAAATTCTTAGAAAACAAACTGATAGCAATTAAGTTTATAATAAATTTTATAAGACAATGCAGTGATTTTCAAAATTTTGGAACAGTTCTCATAAAAAAATAAACTGACAAACACAGAAATGCTGAAATGACTGACTGAACTGTGGATGCTCAGAAGGAAGGACTCCTGAAGTGGCTCAGCCTACACCTCCTGAAACACAACCAATTTAACAGCCATGGCTCTCCTAACTTTGATGCACTTCATTTCATAAAAATAACACAAACCATTTTAAATCATCTAAAGCGGAGCAAAGAATAAAATGAGATTAGAGAGAGGTCACATCCTCAGGGCAGCTTTGCAATACACAGGACAAAAATAGCAGATTCAAAAACACACATTTTTGTATCCTTGCATATTTATAGATGGAGACTTCCCATCATATAAACTAACAAGTTAGGCCAGGAATGATCATACATGCCTATAATTCCATTCATGAGGCCATAGCTGGAGGACCTTAAGTTGGAGGCCACTCTGGGGCTGTAGAGAGACACTGTCTCAAAAAAAAAAAAAAAAAGAAAAAAGCCGGGCGTTGGTGGCGCACGCCTTTAATCCCAGCCGAGGCAGAGGAGGTGGATCTCTGTGAGTTCGAGACCAGCCTGGTCTCAAGAGCGAGTACCAAGATAGGCTCCAAAGCTACACAGAGAAACCCTGTCTCGAAAAACCAAAAACAAAAAAAAAACCCTCTCCCGAAAAAAAAAAAAAAAAAAAAAAAAAAAAAAAAAAAAAACCAAAAAAATTAGCTAGCTATATTCACTCGTCAGGTGTATTAACTTCATGGTACTTCATATATGTCATATACTTGGAATGAGGCTGAAACAAGAAAAACACAACTAGCACAGGGCTGTTAATAAAAAATTAAAAATATTAACTACTGTGAAATATTATCAAATGAAAACCAACCCCAGATTAACAAAACAAATTTCCGATTGGATAAATAATTTTTTTTTTTAAACTAAAAATGTATACCACCAGAAGATCCTGATTAAAATAAAGAAATATATAAAGCTGGAGCGGGAAGTAAACTTGATACGTCGGCTCTTAGAAGTCTACTGGTCCGACTGCCAGCCAGCTATCCGAGTCCCTGGGCGCTCAACGGAGTGTAACCAGCTCTTCTGAAGAGGTAGGGTGAATGGCAACCGTGTTGTCAAAGTCGGCCTTGGTGGCCCCCATTTTCACTGCTACAGCAAAGCCTTGAAGCATTTCATCACACCCAATCCCCTGCATGTGGATCCCGACCACCTGAGAGAAAACAGAAATTAGGAACATCAGATTTATAATTTATATATATATATATATTTTTGGTTTTTCGAGACAGGGTTTCTCTGTGGCTTTGGAGGCTGTCCTGGAACTAGCTCTTGTAGACCAGGCTGGTCTCGAGATCCGCCTGCCTCTGCCTCCCGAGTGCTGGGATTAAAGGCGTGTGCCACCAACGCCCGGCGGATCAGATTTATATTAATTACATATTTGTGAGGTAAATATGATAGCTCAGTGGTAGAACACTTGGCTGGAAATGCCCGAGCCACTGTATTCTACCTCTACCAGCACTACCACCACCACCACCACCAATAACTCTAATCATATTTCTAATCCAAAGTTGGTGTAAGTAAACCTATGAGGCCCCGGGTACCCTGTGTCAGTGGCTCCCTCCAGAGCACACCAGACATTCCCTACTCTTGCTTTCCTCCTGTCCTTTGCACTTCTAACATGATGTCCGTTTGGTGAACTTCTTTCTCTTTCCTTTTTTCCTGACAGGGTTTTGTTATAATAGCCTAGGCTGACCTCAAACTCCTGATCCTCCTGCTTCAGCCCCCTGAGTGCTGAGATCATAGTCTACACTACCATGCTTGGCTTTCTTCGCTCCTTCCTAAGAGCTAAAGCCATTCATTAATCAGATAGCCACAGACCTGTCTCTTCCCATTCATTAACCAGATAGCCACAGACCTGTCATTAACCAGATAGCCACAGACTGCCCCTTCCCAGTCATTAATCAGATAGCCACAGACCTGTCCCTTCCCAGTCATTAACCACATAGCCACAGACCTGCCCCTTTCCAGTCATTAATCAGATAGCCACAGACCTGTCCCTTCCCAGTCATTAACCACATAGCCACAGATCGGTGCCTTCCTGACCCGTTAATTCTGTCCCCGGCTCTCTATGTAGCAGTAGTTCTGTCAAGGTTCTATGACAGTCACAGGATTATCTATGTTGGGCAGGGACTACACAATTATAATTCAATCCCTGTTTCTGTTGCAAGAGCAGCAGGAACTCCTGCATTTCAGTTTAAAGGAACTTGGGAGACCAGAGGCCAGAGTGAGACTCTGGTAAAATGGGAAGGGAAGAAAGAGCAGGGTCCTGCTGACTCAACTGATGTGACAATCGAAGGCCAGTAAGGACTGTTCCAGGCAGCAAGCTGTGCTTTGCTGCCACAAACCCCTCCTCTGAGGTGCTGCACTAAAAAAACGAGACTGTGTCTTGTGACTTTTGGTGTTGAAGCCCATCAAATCACATTCACAGATTGTAATTATTTAAATTCATTTTCTTTTTCAAATGTATTTTATGTATATGAGTGCTCTATCTGTATGTACAACTTTAATGCCTGTATGCCCAGAAGAAGGCATCAGATCCCACTATAGATGGTTGTAAGTCCCCATGTGGGAATTGAACTCAGGACCTCTGGAAGAGCAGCCAGTGAGTGCTCTTAACTGCTGAGCCATCTCTTCAGCCCACAGCTTGTAATTATTAAGAAGAGAAGCTGAAAACTATTACTATAGCTAAATTTCTAAAACCAATTTTTATTTTAATGTGTGTGGAGGAGGGGCAGAGACAGAGAGCATGACCATGCACAGGTGAACGAGAGGATCAGGTCACATGTGTGCTAGCCACTGAATGTTGGTGAAGGTGAGAGGAGAAACTCCTGAAGAGTTAGTTCTCTACCTATGGGGCTATCGCCTAATGTAATGTAGCATCTCCTAACTTAACATTACAGCTAGGCAATGGCAGCATTCATTTTGGAATTTACAACTTCGAAGGCTGAGGCACAAAGGTCAGGACAGTGTCAAAAATCCAAAGAAGACCAACACTTCACATAAGGCATATCCTTTATACACGACCAAGTTCCTTCTTAAGATTTAATTCAATTACAAGAAACAGCTAAGCAGTTGAGGACCCATCTTCCAGAGGTTCTGAGTTCAATTCCCAGCACCCACATGGTAGCTCACAACCGTCTATAATGAGATCTGGTGCCCTCTTCTGGTGTGCAAGCAGCACACTGTATACAAAATAAATAAATCTTAAAAAAAAAAAAAAGTTGAGAACCCAAAAATCAAATGTATTTTCTAAATTTTAAAGTAAGACCCATTCAAATGCAGATCAAAACCATCCTGAGAAACCACACAACAATCACTGAAGTGGCTACATTGAAAAAGACAGTGGAGAGGGTGTGGGAGAAATGGGAACATTTGCTGGGGGACAGAAAATCCTGCAGCACACCAAAACCGGTTTGGCAGATCCTCAGAAAGCTAAGCCAAAAGACAGTAACTTTCAAAAAAAAAAAAAAAAAAAAAAAAGTTGGTTAAACTTTTGTTTTATTGTATTATTCTATTAAGTTTTAAATCGTATTATATTAAAATACATTTACCACTATATATTTTAATGATTTCTGTCATTTTCATTTATGTTTATATGTGTGTCTTCTGTAATTCTGTACACTCATGTGGGGGTGCCCTCAGAGGCCAGAAAAGGGTTCCAGATTCCCTTAAAGCTATAGTTACAGGTGGCTGAGACCCACCTAACTGAAGCAGGTGCTACGAACCAAATCCAGGTCTCTGCAAGAGCAGCCAGTGCTCTTGACCACTGGGTCATCTTTCCAGGCCCCCTTTACCAGTATTTCTGAGCCTCCTGTCTGTTCTGCATTAGTGGTCAATGACAAGTTTTTATTTTCCCTCCTGGTTTTCTTTTTATCTTTAGGATAGCCATTCTTCTTTGCAATACTGAGAGTCAAACCTCCTTTTTAAAAAAACAACAGAATTTTGTTTCTACTATAAAGAGCCCCAAAATACATGTAAGAGAGACAATATTTTCCCCAATACCTTTTCCTCTTTGTTGGCACAAACCATTTTCATCACACATTTGGTCTTCCTTGTGGTCACAGCATGATACATTGGGGTAAAGGTAGTTGAGTAGATTTTCACACTCTCTTTTCCATATTTATGAACGGCTTCATCTATAATGCACATTTAAAAAGCATAAATCAAAAACTGAACCATTCCACAGTTATGAGAGGGTACTGTCCAGAAACACACCTGAATCAAACAAGAAGGAAACAGCCAACTGTACCAAAATAAGGGGCAGTCTGCAAAATAAATGTCCATGTCACATCACAACAGAATGGCTGAGGAATGTGTCTCTGATTAAATGAGACCAAACTGCTTGACATGAATTGTGCTGAACTGAATTCTGGACTGTGGATGGGGGACTATTATTGTACTAAATGGTATTTGAGATAGATAGTTAAATTTGCATAATGTGTAAAGTTTAAATAATGCTTTACATAAAATTTTTTAAAATACTTTATTAATTGAAGGTTTCCCATCTTTTGTTTTGTTTTGTTTTTCTGAGACAGGGTTTCTCTGTGGCTTTGGAGGCTGTCCTGGAACTAGCTCTTGTAGTTCAAGACCAGGCTGGTCTTGAACTCACAGAGATCCGTCCGCCTCTGCCTCCCATGTGCTGGGATTAAAGGCGTGCGCCACCAACGCCCGGCTGAAGGTTTCCCATCTTAAAACTATGTTTATATAAGTGAAGACCGTTGTTCTTTAAAAGTAAGATGTAGGGTGTGTATGCAGCAGAGGTTCTCAACCTTCCTAATGCTGTGACCTTATGTTGTAGTGACCGTCCCACCATAAAATTATTTTCATTGTTACTTCATAACTGTAATTTTGCTACTGTTATGAATCATAATATAAATACTTGGTATTTGCAGTGGCCTTAGGTGACCCCTGTGAAAGGGTCCTGCGACCCTCAAGGGGATCGAGACCCACAGGCTAAGAAGCACTGGTATATAGGGTGCATAAATATAATGACACAGAGGAATCCTTTGTATTCTTTTGGCTACTTTTAACTTATATAAATATAAAAATCCAGAGTGTGTGTGTGTGTGTAAGAAAGAGAGGAGAGAGAGAGAGAGAGAGAGAGAGAGAGAGAGAGAGAGAGAGAGACAGACAGACAGACAGACAGAGAAAGAGAGAGAATGAAAACAGACATATGGGCAGCAGGAGTCACACACTTGAAGTACTCATTGCTTGAGAACTATGACTCCAGACTAAACAAAAGGGTTAGTGCAACTTGGGACACAGTGATTTTGGCTGATAAAAGGTTATCCTTAATGACCTTCATTTTAAAATACCGACCTTCATTTTAAAATACCTACCTTCAGTGAGCCCCACTGTCCCAATAGGGGGGTGGCTGAAGACCACGGTAGGGATGTTGTCATAGTCTAATTTGGAATCTTCTTTGCATTCAAAAAGTCTATGGGCCAGTTTCCGGCCAGCAGCTATTGCAACTACAATGATACAAAAACCAGTGTTTGTTTTATTTATTTTAGCACAGCAACACTGCTCTGAGAGCCGTTTGCTGATCTGGCACAGCTCTGACAGAACGATACACCAATGTCCATTATCTCTACCCTCACATAATGAAATAATGAAAACCTAGCACTGCCATCGTGAACAACCCAAAACCATCAGCTTAGCCACTCTGTATGTTCTGTTATGAAGAAAAGTGACATATGCCCAAGTTCCCAGTCACCTGGAAGTTAATCCACCAAATGAGAACATTCCTGGTAGGGTATTTACAGAACAAGCCATAGTTTGGCACATTTGTATTCTACTTCAGTAAGATTCTTTTAAACTAAAAGCTTGTGTCCCATTAGCCTGCTTTTATTCCTGTCTTCCCCTCAAATGGACTGAGTCCAGAAAAAGCACCAGTTATTAAGTGACTGATTTAAGATTAGCTTCATCAGATGAAGCAAGGTTGTTTTTCAAACTCTTGTTAAAGAACTTAAAATTTTAGTTAGGAGGGCTGTATTCAACAGATCTATTGTGCAGCAAGGTAACCATTGTTAATATAAGCATAAAACTGATTGTTTACTTCAAAATTGTTGAGAGTAGCTGGGCACCACAGCAGACCAAGCTGGCCTTGAACTCACAGAGATCCACCTGCCTCTGCCTCCTGAGTGCTGGGATTAAAGGCATGCTCCACCACTGCCTGTTCCAAATACAGTCTTCTAAGGAATAATGGATTTTATTCAGAAAAGGTCAGGTACCTAGCCTACATCTACTTCAATGCCATTTTGACGACAAAGACAGGAATGCTTTTAATTTTGCTGAAGCAAATTGGACTGTGAAATCTTGGTGGCTTTAGACAACAAACAGGCCTCTGTCCCCAAGAAAGGAAGCAGCATTACCTGGGGTGAGAAGTGCTCTCCCACAGACATCTCCCACAGCATAGACGCCTTTCACATTGGTATTCTGGAATTCGTCTACGATGATATGGCCTTTTTCATCTGTCTGAATCCCCTAAAAAACCACAAAGGAACATCTGGTAAATACTGGGGCCATCTATCATGGCAATCAAACCTTGAGAACAGCTGCATTTCACATCTGCACCTCCAAAAAGCCTAAGACTGAACAGCAACATGCAAATCACTTCAAGCTGACACTGACAAGTTCCATAGCTTCCTTAATGTGTGTGTGTGTGTGTGTGTGTATGTATGTATGTATGTGTGTATGTACTGTTTCATCAACTATGAGGTGCTTTAATGGGACTAGACTGATCCAGTAAGCATGAAAAGGAATGACAGAGAGAGAGAGGGAGGGAGGGAATGAGGGAGGGAGAGAATGACTAGGCTATGAGGTACACTATCCTACTTGCTACTGGTAGGGCTCCTCTGAAACACCTGTCAACTGTTTCCTAAGTACTTGAAGAGCCGCTAAAGTATTGCTCACTGGCTAGTGTTTTGTCAACTTTACAAATGCTAGGAGCCTTTGGGAAGATAGACCCTCAACTGAGAAAATGTTCCCACCAGACTGGCCGGTGGGCAAGCCTCTCGTGCATTTTCTTGACTAATGATTGATGTGGATGGGGCCAGCTCACTGGGGGAGGGGCCATCCTAGGCAGGGAGTCCTGGATAATATAAGAAAGCAGCCTGAGCAAGCCTTGAGGAGCTAGCCGGCACACAGCATTCCTCCATGGCTTTTACAAAGATTCCTGCCCTGACTTCTCTGGATGATGGACTACAAACTCTAAGCTGAAATAATCTCTTTCCTCCCCAAGTTGCTTTTGGTCATGGTGTTCTATCATGGCAATAGAAACCCAACTAAAACAGTCACCTATAGGGTCTCAGCCTGAAACAGTCACCAAAGGAATTTTTTTTCCCAAGTTACCATCTTACCTTTTTTTTTTTTTTTTAAATCTAATCCAAGTTTGCATGCTACTCCAAAAAACCAAATACACTTCCTTTACACCGAGTCATCTTTCCTCTAAGATGTGTTCTGTTTATTTTGCAGATCTGAGAGAAACAATGCTCCAGTGTGAGACAGAGCGTTAAGAATACAGTGGCTTCTGCAGAGAAGCACAGTTCTGAAGTCATTGAGTTTGAGGTTAGCCTGGTCTACTTAGCCAGTTCCCGGCCAGCCATGGCTACACAGTGAGACCCAGCCTCAAAAATAAGTAAATAAATTTATTTATTTATTCATATGTATGAATATATACATGCACGCATACATATGAATACAATCTTTGAGGCTGTGATGTGGCTCCATGGCAGAACACACCCTTAGCATGTATCAGGCCCTGGCCCCGACTCCCAGCATCACTCAGAGAGAAAGGTCCTTTGGAGCCAGGTAGACTGGCTTCAATCCCAGCTCTGTCACTCACTAGTTATGAAATTTCACAGATGCAACTATTTATCTACAGATATTGGAGCTGCTACTGCAAATGAGTTTAACTGGGCCACTAAAACACAGTGGTGAGTTAGCAGCCTGGTGAATTACCTATTAATCCTGTTTCTTGGTTTCCTCACCCTTCAGTTACTGGCAAGATTTAAGAGATGAGTAACCACTGACACAACCTGGCACACAGCAGTCCTTCGATCTGCATTACAACAGACCTATCTTAACTTTTAATAAGGTGAGAAGGAACCTTCTTTATCCAGCCTCATTGTTTAAAAATTCAGGAAATAGTGAGCTGGGGAAATAGGTTGGCTGGTAGAGCACTTGTTTAGCATGCTTGAAGCCCTGGGTTTGATCTCCAGTATAGCGAGGTGCACACCTCCAATCACAGTACTTGGGAGGTAGAGTCAGGAGGATAAGAAATTCAAAGTTGGAGTTAGGAAGATGTTCTGTGGGAGCTTGCTGGGCAAGAGAGATGACCTGAGTTCAATCCCCAACACCTACTGGACAGTCAGGTGGAGTGATAATCACAGAGCTGGGGAGGCAGAGACAAGACAATCCCCGGGGCTGCGAACCAGTCAGTCTAGACCAACTGGCAAGCTATACATTCAGTGAGACTCCCTCAAAAAATGAGGTAGAGAGCAATTGAGGAAGATATCAATGTCAGTCTCTGGCTGACATTCTACATGCAAAGCACATATGCATACATATACACATCAGCATGTACACACAGATTCAACCAATAGGGATGGGAAATGGGAGGGAAGAAGAGGAGGGGTGAGGTCAGCCTGGACTACAAAAGATCCTGACTCAAAAGACAAACAAATAAATACAGGGACAAGTGGTGCAGATCTATAACCCCAGCTACTTGGAAGGCTAAAGAAGGAAAACTACAAGGCCAGCCTGGGCCACAGACTGAGTTCAGGGCTAGTCTAGGTAACTTAGTGCGACCATGTCTTAAAAAAAAAAAAGGGAGGGCTAGGACTACAGTCAGTGGTAGAGTACTTGGCTAGCATGTGTGGGAGACCCTAGATTAGCATGTATGGGAGACCCTAAATTAGCATGTGTGGGAGACCCTAAATTAGCATGTGTGGGAGACCCTAAATTAGCATGTGTTGGGAGACCCTAAATTGTGTGGGAGACCCTAAATTAGCATGTGTGGGAGACCCTAAATTAGCATGTGTGGGAGACCCTAAATTAGCATGTGTGGGAGACCCTAAATTAGCATGTGTGGGAGACCCTAAATTCAATTCTTACACTGCCAGAAAGAAAGGAAAGAAGGAGAAAAGGATGGAACAGGAAGTGGGAGGTAAAGTACAGTAGTGCATACCCATAATCCTAACATTTAAAAGTCAGCAAAAAGGAAGCAAGTAAGGAAATGAATGGACAATCTGGATCAGACCCCTCCAGTCTAACAGATACCTGACCTGGGGTGAGTACACTAGAAAGGAGACATACTCCAAAGCAACAGGACCTCATGACAAAGGACATGGACAGGAGTGCAGAAGGTCACAGGGCTATTGGAGATGGAAGACAACACAAGGCAGACCGAGTCAGCTTACCAGTTTATTTAAATTCAGGCCCCTAGAATTTGGGTCACGTCCAATGGCCCAGAGCAGGCAGTCAACATCTGGAATCATGGTTGTGGTGGGTTTCCTACCAGGAACAGCAGTAACCATGAGGAGTTCCAAGCCGGATGGTGTCTTTTTTACTTCCTTTACCTATTTATATATACATAAAAAAAATAAGTGTTATGTATGGGAAGAAAGGGGTGAAGGTAGAGTGAAAGCAAAGATTTTCTCCCAGTACCAGGGACTGAACCTTCGGCTCCACTCACGCCAGGCAAGCACTCAACCACTGAGCTACCTTCTGCCCTGTTTTTGCTTATTTTGGAATGGGATCTCACTAAATTGCCCAGTCTGGCCTTAAACTTCCTCTGTCCTTCAGACAGGCTTTGAACTTATCCTCCTCTTGCTTCAGCTTCCTAAGTAGCTGGGAGTTTAGACTTAAGGCACTAGGTTTAAGGAAACCAGAATTTTTGTGGATTTTTTTTTTTTTTTTGAGACAGGATCTCAATCTATAGCCCAGACTGACCTCAAATTCATATCGATATTTCTGCATCAGATTCCTAAGTATGGGGATTACAAGCTTCGGCAATTATATCCAGCTAGAATTTTTAATAATGTTTACTTATAGTTCAAACAGGTGTTTAATTTTAGCCAAAGGCCATGGATACTTAACTCCCAGAGCCAGGCCTGTTTCCTTGATTCTTTCAAAGACCAGGAGTGCTGGCCATATGTGGTGGTTTGAATGAGAATGTCCCCATAGGCTCATGCTTGGTCTGGACCTGAACCCGCAGGAATAAGGGTCCTGGAGGGGAGATGGGATGTCAAGGCGGAGGATGGGATAAGAAAAATAAGACAGAATTCCAGGACAGCCAAGGCTAGCCCAACAGGGACCAGGAGGGCTATACGATCTGGTGATCATGACAGCAGGCTTATTAAGAATTAGCACATCTTAGCCAGGCGTTGGTGGCACCTTTAATCCCAGCACTCAGGAGACAGAGGCAGGTGGGTCTCTGTGAGTTTGAGGCCAGTCTGGTCTATAGAGTGAGTTCCAGGACAGCCTCCAAAGCCCCAAAGCCACAGAGAAACCCTGTCTCGGAAAAAAAAAGAATTACCACACCTTACATACTTATTTCAGGGGAGAAATGGGACAGCATCAGCAGAATCTATCATACAATAGGACAAAGTTGGTAGAAGGCTAAGTGAGCAATGATGCACAAAAAGAACACGGGATATTGCAAGTGTCACAGACCGGCACACAGTGGTCTTGGGACTGATACCACAACCCTTTAAGTGTGAAGAGTTGGCTTCCCAGAATCTTCCCCCAAGGCTCTGGCTTCAGACTATTACTGACGGAACTACATTCCTTTACAATACACCAGGGCCTCAGGAAAAACCTTGGATCGGCCTGGCTTCCGAAATGGATCCTATTTGGTGGAACTGTTGTAGCAAGGATTAGGAGGTGTGTGGGGCCTTGTTGGAAGGGGTGTGTCACTGGAAATGGGTTTTGAATTTTCAAAAGCCCAAGCCAAGCCTGTCTATCTGCCCATACTGGGCAGCTCATAACTGCCTACAAGTTTGACTCTAGAGGGTTCTAACACCTCTGGCCTCCCCTACAAAGATACCTGCACTCATGTGTATTTGTGTGCACATGTGTGTCATACCCATGGAGGCCAGAAGAGGGTGTCCCCCGGAACTGGAGTTACAGACAACCATGAGCTGCCATTTGCATATGACCGAAGCACATCCCAAATACTTTAAATCAACTTCAGGTTGTTTATAACACAAAGTAAATGTCATTTACTTTAGAGAATAATGAACTGAAAAGGCCTGTACATGTTCAGTAGACACTCTTTTATTTCAAGTATTTACAATCCAGTTGGTGATGATATGCAGTTGTAGAAAGCATCCACATGGGTACCCAGCTCATCATTTAACGAAGGTCTCCAAGGTGATGCTGATGGAAATCCCTTCATTTTTGCATCCCCAAAGCATACTATCATTTCTTACTCTACTCCATATGGGCTATGCTGGAAGAGTAGCACAGACCTGGAGAGGGCCACACTCATGTTTCCCAGACTGAATCTCTAGAAAAATTTGACTGAAATTAAGTCATTTCCTGAGGAATAAAGTACTCTACAACACTGATTAAATTAAATAAAACAGATTAATTTAAAAAAACCATATGCACGCCAGGCATTGGTGGCACACGCCTTTAATTCCAGCATTTGGGAGGCAGAGGCAGATGGATCTCCGTGAGTTTGAAGCCAGCCTGGTCTCCAGAGCGAGTGCCAGGATAGGCTCCAAAGCTACACAGAGAAACCCTGTCTCGAAAAAACAAAACCCCCCCCCCCCCCCCGCCAAAAAAAACAAAAACATTTTTTGGAAAATCTGAAAAATAAGGATGTGAAAAGAGGTACATGAGAGGGTTGGAAAGATGGCTCAGCAGTTGAGAGCACTGGCTGCCTAACCTTCCAGAGGACCCAGGTTCAATTCCCAGCATCCATCAGGCTGCTCACAACTGTCTGTAACTCCACACTGTGGGATCAGGCACTCTATTCTTCTGATCTTTTGGTTACCATGCAAGCACACAGTGCACAGACATACTTGAAGGCAAAACATCCATACACATTAAAGGTAAGAGAGAGGAAGTAATTGGCACATGATCAGATAGAAGCAGGCTAAGCTGCAGTAGAGGAAGTACACGTTTGCAAAGTTAACTGGGGGCCAGCTGAGGTACACAGTTCAGTGGTGGAGCCCTTCCACACACAGGATCTTGTGTTCTACTCTTAGCCCTGGAAGTATGATTTAGCAGCCCTAGCTGAGTACCTGTGAGAACTTCAGCACTTCCACGCCAGCGTTCTCCAGCTCCTCAGTGCAGTTGGAACTGATGAGTGAATCAAAGTTTCTAAGAACCTGCATTTAAACATGGAGGCAGAGACACCGATGTTGGGAAAGAAATGAAACTTGATTAAAGTCAAAGCGCGGACTTGGGAGAGCAGTCCCAGCCCTCTGTTATCTTTCCTCGTACCGCCTCCTTCACTCATGCTCACACTGGGGAAGAGTTTAGCAGAGCCTCTATTTGCCACCAGTGTCTATACCATATCTGGTGTCATCTACATCTATTTTAGAGTTCTGAAAAATGAACAAACTTCAGAACTCTATTATCTTCATGTTCTCCTATTCTTCTTTCTTCCTTCTTTCAGTCCTCCCCCCCCTTCTTTGTTGGCAGAATCTAGGAAAACTCTCGTGTAGTGGGGCTGCTTTCCCTTTGCTCTATGTGACGGCTCTCTACATTGTCTTGTAGTGGGGCTGGCTTTCCCTCCAGTCTCTGGGAAGGCTCTCTCAATTATCCTGTGAGAAACAGCAGCTAGAGCCAGCATTTCAAACTACTAGTAGATGTGAATGTGAGGGGCGGGGTGTCCCATAAAAATTTGGCAACAGTGAAAAGTTTCTGAACACACAATGACAGAAACTTAATCAGAGTCGAGTGCATACTGAGTCTAAAGGGTTTTTGGCAGGTCCCACCATGCCGCATACTGCAACTTCACCATGCCATGGATCTGAACAAATCATATCACATGTGCCTGCCATATTGCATAGGCCACGTAGTGCCAATGACCATCAAAGGCTTCAGGTTAGATTTAAGACTAATTTATGTTCTGACCTGTAGTGTTTTACTGCACATACAAAGTTTATGGCTCTTACAGAAATATATGGTCCCATTATATATTTCTTTTTTCTTTTTTGGTTTTTCAAGACAGGGCTTCTCTGTGACTTGGGAGGCTGTCCTGGAAGTAGCTCTTGTAGACCAGGCTGGTCTCGAACTCACAGAGATCCACCTGCCTCTGCCTCCCAAGTGCTGGGACCAAAGGCGTGCGCCACCACCGCCCGGCCCAGTACATATTTCTACCATCACTCCTTACCATAGAAGGGCCAAATTGGATTGGATTGGATTAGAACATTTGATTTTAAAGAATGTTTGGCTACAAGAGCTGGCCATACTGCCTGCATGGTTTGCATAGGCTTGGATATTTGAACAATTGGTATCCAACTGGTGGCGATGTTTGGGGGGTGTAGGCTTGCTGGAGGACCAGCTTTTGAGAACGCAAAGGCTCATGACTCTTCCAATTCACTCTCTCTGCTTTGTTTGTGACTGAACTCTCAGCTTCCTGCTTTGGCCATCATGACTGCCATTTGCTGCCATAGGCAGCATGGCATATGCCCATCCACGCTCCCATATGCGTATCATATACACATAGTAATAAAAAAATTATATTTAAAAATTAGGTGATAACCAGTTTTTAAAACATAAGAAAAATTCTCTAATTAGGAAAAAAGAAGGGGTGGGGGAGGAGATGGGCTTACCTTATCATGCCTTATCATAAGAGATGTCTTGGAGCCCAGGGCAGAGAGGATGCCAGCTATCTCCACGGCAATGTAACCCGCACCCACAATGACACTGCGGCTGAGATAGAAGCAAAGGGTGACCGCTTCGTAAACTGATTTGGGGATGGCTTCAGATGCACAGACTAACATGTTTCCTTTGTGGGCTCGCTGCTCAGTTTTCCCAGACAGTTAACATTTTATGAGGAACAGTATGACATGCACCACAATCCCACGCATTTGGAGGCAGAGGCAGCCTGGTATGAGTTCCAGACCATCCAGAGCTATGCTTCGAGTCATTTTCTCAAACTGAATAAAACAAAATCCCATCCCACCCTTGACCCCATAAAAGAAAATTATCTTGCTGGGTGATGGTGGTGGAGCACACCTTTAATCCCAGCACTCAGGAGGTAGAGGCAGGTGGGTCTCTGTGAGTTCCAGACCAGCCTGGTCTACAGAGTGAGTTCTAGGACAGCCAAGGCTACATAGAGAAACTCCCCCCAAAAGAGAGATTATTATTTGTTTGTTTATTTATTTATTTAGAGGTAGTCTATGTATCTCATTTGGCCAACATGTAGTACACTGGGCCTGAACCCCTCCCAATTTTCATATATAAATCTAACAGCACCATTATTTCCCAGGCTGGATATTCTCCTCACTCATTATTCAGTTCTATTAATCCTTGTAGCATGATCAAAGGCCAATTTAAGAAAGTCATTTTAAGTCAGACATGGTGGCTCATGCTGGTAATCCCAGCATTTGGGTGGCCCAGACAGCAGTTGAACTCAACTTCCTGATTCCATTTTGGTTTAACAAAAGAGCTTAAGCCCGAGCTAAATGCTTGAATGACTGGATCAGTGTCTGAGAAACTGTTGCTTAAGGCTTACTTTCAGGCTGAGGCATAGGGAGTATCAGCCCCAGCCAGTGATTTCTGCTTCAGGTTGAACAAAGGAACCGTCTTCCACTATTTCCATAGACATGCCAGCCTACTGAGCTTCCTGGCCTGACTGGAGGCTAAATGACTGAAAATGACTGGACCGGTGAGGACCCTCTTACCCTAAAAGGCTGAGCATGATCAGAAGCTTCCACTCTCTTCAAAACCTATGAGATGGCTCTTCTTGCATGTCTGTCTCTCTCTCTCACTCGTATGCTGACCTCCTTCTCCCCACCCCCACCTTTGCTTTTCTCCTTTCCTCTCTCCACCTTCTTTTCTTTTCTGGACACTGAAGTCCTACACTGTACTAGGCACTACACTGGATGGGATGGGTAATGGTTTCTGTCCTCAAAATATCTTTTTGGTTGATGCTGATGGGGTGTGAACCCAGGGCCTTTTCCATACTAGATACCTCTGCCACTGGTCTGTATCTCCACCCTGAATTAAAAAAAAAGAAAAGTTTAAAGACTGGCTTGGTCAACTGGTCAAACCTGGCTTTAAATCTGTTCAACAACACAAGTGGCCTTGAATGTGCAATTCTACAACTTCAACCTCCAGAACAGCTGGGATTGTAAATCCATCCCTAAGGCCTGGCCCATGAAGAATTTCTAAAGAAAGAAACACACTCTGAAGTTGGTTGAGGAGGAGTGAGTGCTGAAGAGTAGATTTCTGAAAGGTATGTTCTGAGTGGAGGGGCCCCATTTGAGTGAAAAGGACAGGTCACCATCACACCGCTTCTGAGAGCTGCAAGGAGCCCAATGCTTCCCTTGGCTCCCCCGGCACCTTCATGCCACCTCCTGTCACTGCGGGATTCACTGGAAAAGACTTTCAGTACTTCCGCATCCCCAGAGCAACCCTTTTACCTCACGATGCCTTAAGAACCACTGCCACAGCCTTCCAGAGGGTTCCAGCTGCCCACCCCATCCAGCCATAAGCCCTCTGAGGGCAAAAATGGAATCATGTGGTGCACCGGTACCCCTCCTACAGGATTTTCAAGACTGTAATTTATGATTTTTTTTTAAAATCATGTAAGAGAAAAAGGAATGAACAAAGAAATCACCTAAGAAATAGCTTTGAAGGGAAAGACCATTTATGTAGCCCAGGCTGGCCTTGAACTTACTATACAGCAAAGCTATCCTCCTGCCTCAACCTTCCAGTGCCCTAGGAATGTCACAACTGGATGCTCTTTTTTTGAGACAAGGGTTGCTCCAGGTTACCTAGCCCAGCCTGGAAGACCTAGGTTTCTGCCATTTTCCACTCCAGCCTCCCAAGCAACTGTGATTCAGGCAAAGGCACCACACCTTAGTTCACTTCCTTTTGTTCCCAGAGCCTTTTCTTTATAACATGAATAAATCCATTCATTAAGCTTGTATTCATACCAATAAAAGTTTATTACATAGTTCTAAAATATGTGATGGGCAAGTGTCTGTGATAAAGCTTGCTCAGGAGTGGGTCTGACCTGACTTATATTACCGCCCAAACACAACTGAGTCATGGCTGTATGCTCACTCACATCCTATCTGTGAAGCCTGAAGACACTTCAAGGTGGATGGTGCTGAGGCAGGGGAGTCAACTGAGATTGAGTTCAAGATGGCACGGGCAACACAGAAAGACAAGGGACGAAGGGAGGCAGGGCAGAAAAGGAAGAGCACTGGTTCCTGGGAGAGGGAGACATGATGTCACGCCAGCTTACCTAGGCAGGTCCTCCAGCTGAAAAAACCCATCACTGGTTATTCCCAAGCTGGCACCTATAGAAAAATACCACACAGAGGTAAAATGAACACACTATTTAACTTTTTTTTTTTTTTTTTTTAGCAAGGGCTGAGAAAGGGTTACACATTGTGGTCTGGGCTAACCTGGGACTTAACTCTATATATAGCCCAGGCTGGCCTCAAACTCATGGCAGTCTTCTTGCCTCAGCCTCTTTTGGGCTTTGGGAATTTGGAGTATAAGTTGCCATGCCTGGCCCAAACAGAAGCTATTCAAGAACTAAACACTCCCTCAGCCAATGCCCTGTCTCAACAGCTTTGTTAGGCCTCTACTGACAGCATGTCTTCCTGGAGTCTACATCTTACATTTATCTCAAGAAATAAGAACAGTGATGGATAAGTAAATTTAGATTTCCCTGAAGGACCAAGATCCTACCAGCTGTCATGAACAGACTGCTAGCTCGGCTTTGCCTCCAACCCCAAGTAAAGGAAGGAAACCAAGGAGTGAGGTTTTGGCCCCCTTCACTTGTCTTACTTTTTTTTTTTTTTTTTTTTTTTTTTTTTTTTTTTTTTTTGACAGGGCCTCTCTACATAGCCCTGGCTATCTTGGAACTTACTATGTAGAACAAACTGACCTGAAACTCACAAAAGAGCTGCCTGCTCCTGTCTCTGCCTCCCAGGTGCTGGGAATAAAGGCGTTCGTTACCATGCCTGGCTTCTACCTTTTTCTCCCCAAGACTACACATATGGTAACAGTGTTGATTTCCTCCTCAAATATTCCAGTTCCACATTTACATCAGTGTTACTTCATAATCTTTCTGAAAGCTCCCCTTATCTGAAACACTTGAGGCCAGAATTTCAAATTTCAGAATTTTTTCAGAATTGGGAATATGTCTATAGGGCATTTTCTTGATTAATGTGGCCTGATGGTCCTGGGTTGTGTAAGAAAGCAGACTGAAGGGCTGGAGAGATAGCTTAGAGGTTAAGAGCACTGACTGCTCTTCCAGAAGTCCCAACTTCAATTCCCAGCAACCACATGGTGACTCACAACCATCCGCTATGAGATCTGGTGCCCTCTTCTGCTGTGCAGATATACATGGAAGCATTATGTTGTATACATAATAAATAAAATCTTTAAAAATAAAAGAAAGAAAGAAAGAAAGCAGGCTGAAGGTTGAAGTTGGGCGTTGGTGGTGCACGCCTTTAATCTCAGCACTCAAGAGGCAGAGGCAGATAGATCTCTGTGAGTTGAGGCCAGCCTGGTCTACAAAGCTACACAGAGAAACTCTGTCTTGGAAGCAAGCCTGGAAGCAGCGTTCCTCTGTGGCCTCTGCTTCAGTTCCGGCCTTCAGGTTCCCGCCTTAAATTCCTGCCCTGACTTCCTTTCCAGATGGACTGTAATCTTCGAGGTGAAATTAACCTCTCTTTCCCTCCCTAAGTTGCTTTTTGGTCATGGTGTTTTATTGAAGCAATAGAAGCGCTAACCAAGCCGGGCAGGGGTGGTTTACATCTTTAATCCCAGCACTGGGGAGGCAGAGGCAGGCCGATCTCTGTGAGTTCGAGACCAGCCAGGTCTACAAGAGCTAGTTCCAGGTCAGCCTCCAAAGCCACAGAGAAACCCTGTCTTCACGGAAAAAAAAAAAAAAAAAAAAAAAAAAGAAACACTAACCTAGACAGATGTTTCAGGAATGCAGCTCAAGATTAAAATGTACATAAAAAACTGGGTGTGATGGCATAATCTTGTAATCCCAGCACAAGGGAGACGGAGGCAAGAGGATCAGGAATTCAAAGTAGAGAGTGGACTGGAGTTCAGTCTGAGTTTTAAGGCCTATCTGTGTAAGTACTTTGAGCTAACCAATTTCGCCACTAGAGCTCGTCAAGACCTATGTGTGTGTGGGGGGGGAGGGGGGTAACACAAATTATTTTAACATTTTAAAAGCTTTTTATACTGAAGTTTCCTAGGCAGAACTTCCTGCTTATGGTATGTCAAAAAACTCTGGATTCTGGAGCATTTCACATTTTGAATTTTTAGAATATGGATGTTCAACTTGTCCAGTTTTCCAAACTATACGCCTCTTTCCATTTTAGAGAAAGGAAGAAAGTGCCCTGCCCAGATACTCCAGACAGGACCTTAAGCTGTCAGCCTGTGATTCCTTCTCTAACACCTGTCTCCTAATCCATACCTCCTCAGTTAATAAGGGATACATCCATCTTACCAAAGCTAAGTGCCGTGAGCATACCCTGGCTGGTCTCCATGGCGAAGACTATGTTTTGAAATGTATCTTTAAATCAGAGACGTACAGCATCCGGCCATTTGTGGGCTGTCTTCAGCCTGTTCCCCCTAGTCCAAGTAGGGGGAAGTAGCAAGTGTCTACAGAATGGGGTGAGAGCCCCTCATCTTATTTCTGGTGAGAGCACCTAATTATCTTCCACCTCCTGCAGACTATTTTGTCTTCCAGCTAGGAGTCAGTCTCGAAAGTCTTGCCTCATCCAGTCACTGGCAGCTTAGTTTCTGGACATCACACAGATCTTGTTGCTGTTTGTTTATAAGCCAACAGTGATCTTCTGCAGCTACCAAAGTGACTTTGGCTTGATGAGTCTCCATGAGTCCAGTATAACCTAATTCTAGTCCCAACTCAAAGCACCTGCTTCAAGTGCAGTGCTGTCAAACTGACTGCATTGGTTGAAATCCTTCAGAGATGTCTTTATTACTCATGGATTCTTCCCACTCCTCTCTCTCAACACATAATTCTGACTGAGTCCCTTTCTTAGGAGTCGTCCTGGATCATGCCTGACCATATGGCCTCCCTTCTATTCACACACAATCCAAGAATGGAGTCCTGTGAGAATTCTGCATGCTTGTGAGAAAACTACACGGAAACAAGACAAGGATCTTGTAACCTCTGGTTCTCCAAAACACAGAACTGTTCTTGGAATGTGTTTTTGTGCTCCTCCCAGGTGTAGGAGTTTACTTCAACTGTTATTCATGTATCTCTATGGAAAAAAATGTTTTTGCCATGTGTGGCTTGTCCTTGTGATTGAACACCTTACTCATGATTCTTCTTAGCCTTCAGAGTATATATTGTCTGATGATCTGAATGAAGTTGGTTACTGCAGGGGACTTTAGTTCCCTCATTTTTAGGCCCCACTCTCCCAGGTTCAAGCGCCAACTAAAGCTGAAAACACCCACCTCATGAGAATCTCTGCCTTCACCATCTGGCAGAGCTTAGAGACTGCACTTATTTTTATTACCTTAGTTAATGAAATAATGTTTTAAATCATTTAAAAGGTGAGACTGGGCCAGGCAGTGGTGCTGCACACCTTTAATCCCAGCACTGAGGAGGCAGAGGTAGGCAGATATCTGTGAGTTTGAGGCCAGCCTGGCCTACAGAGCAAGTGCCAAGAGAGGCTCTGAAGCTACACAGAGAAACTCTGTCTTGAAAAACCAAACAAACAAATAAAAAAACCCAAAGATATCTGAGTGTTTTGCCTGGGTATATGTATATGTATGTGCACCATTTTTGTGCAGTACCTGTGGAGGTCTGAAGAGGATGCTGCATCCCCTGGAACTGGAGTTACAGAAGGTTGTGAACTATCATGGAGGTGCTGGAAACCAAACTCAGGGAGCACCTAGTGCTCTAAATGGCTGAGCCTGCTCTCCAGGCCATGTTTTGTTTTTTGCACTGCTAGAAACTGAACCAAGGTCTCACGCCTGCTAAGCAAGCACTCTAGCTCAGAGCTAGACAACCATAGGAATCTTGATCATCCTTGCTGTGCCATCTAATGCACATTGTATTTCACTGATGTCACTTTCCAGATGTGGCCTCTTAAGAGTCTTCAGAGGACAGGGCTACAACAGTAGCACCGGAACCACCAGCTCCCCGCCTGCATTCTTGGGAGGTATTGTATAATTTTCTTTTTCTTCTTCTTCTTTTTTTTTTTTTTTTTTTTTTTTTTTTTTTTTTTTTTTTTTGTTAGCTTGTCTGTTTTGAGACAGGGTTTCTCTGTATAGCCCTCACTGTCCTGGAACTCACTCTGTAGACCAGGCTGGCCTCAAACTCAGAGATCCACCTGCCTCTGCCTCCCGAGTGCTGGGATTATAGGTGTACACCACCACGCCCAGCTTTGTTCAGTTTCTTTAAAACAGCAGAATCTCACTCCATGGCCCAGGCTGGCCTCAGACTTAAGGAAATGCCTGTATGTGTGAAGAAAGAACTGGACAGTAGCCAGCATTCATTAACTGCGGTTTCATGACTGCGATGTGCTTTGACCATCTCCTGTTCCTGCTCTTATGACTTCCCTCCATGATGGACTGCCATCTACTGTGGGCCAGATTAAACTCTTTCTCCTTGCTTTTGTCAAGAGTATTTTATCACAGCAATAGGAAATTAAGAAACTCACCATCCAAGACTTATGGTATTATGATGGAGAAAGAATGACTAATGTCTTAAGAATGAATATGGCCATCTGTTCATGATTCATACCTAGCTCTTAGCCCATCACACAGATACACAGGCAGGAAGGATGACCTCCGAGGTTCATGGCTAGTTTAATCTTTTACACCTTGCTATATAAGAAACAAAAACTATTCTTTATAAGATTTCTCTCTCTTGAACAGTTACTGTATATTGAGTCTCAGAAATAATAATTTGCCTGACAACCCCAGGTTGTCAGCACTCTGTGTCACACCAGGAGTGAAAGGCTGAAGTTCTCCTTGATTTCTCTTCCTGAGTCCTGAGCTGGATGAAACAGCTTTCTTTGGCTCATTAATTACTACGGTCCTTTCTCAAGACAGAACCAGTGTAGGCAGATCCCAAGATGTGGCTTGTAAACTCTCTGATCTCACTGGCCTCTGGAAGACTCACCTGGGATCTGGCTCTCTTGAGGAACTGTGGGCACACCACCTGTGGCAATCAGGATGTGAGGTGCAGTGTACTTTTTCCCATTGACTTCAACCGTGGGCTGAGGACCATCTGCAAATGCTGCATAGCCATGGATGATTTCTATGTGGGACTGGGGAAGGAACACTGGCATTAGCATAGTCTTAAGACTCCACAAGCAAACACACACACACACACACACACACACACACACAAACACCTGGTTGGGAGCTGTGAGGCACTCCTACAACCCTGCACTTGGGAGGGGGAGGCAGAAGGATTAGGCACTCAAGGTCATCCTTGGCTATACAGCAAGTTCACAGGTAGTTTGAACTATAGGAAACCGGTCTCAAAAAACATCTATCTGCCTAATACTGGTATCAACTCCTTATTCACCAAAAAATAGCCTAGGCTAGCCTCTAACCCAATTATGTAGTCATGGATGACTTCAAAAGTACTGGTTCTTCTGCCTCTACTTTCCAAGTGTTAGGATTACAAAGCTCAGCACTTGGCTTTTGCAGCCCAAGTTTCCCTTGAAGTGGCAATCCTCCTGCCTTAGCTTTTCACAGCTAGGATTATAGGTGAGTGCCACTGCACACTGCTCCACTTAAGATTTTGATTTTGGATTTGTAAATAGCAAGATGGATTCTGTTGCCTACATTCTTGGACCTCCTGACTGGAAACTGATGTTCAGAAGAACTCATTGCCCGTTAGTGCTGGATGTGAACAAGGAGAAATAATGGTGCCACCTTGAGCTAAAACCAAGAGAACAAAAACCATGCCAGTCACTCCAAGGAAAAAGACAACATCTTTGATTCCAAGGGTTGATGGTGAAAGTGATGTGGACTAATGCTCTTGTTCTCTGTAAAGATTTGTCACCCATATTGGTTTAATAAAATGCTGACTGGCCAGTAGCCAGGCAGGAAGTAGAGGCGGGGCTACCAGACCAGGAGAATTCTGGAAAGAGGAAAGGCAGAGATGGAGTCGCCAGCCAGATGCACAGGAAACAAGAATGCCATACTGAGAAAAGGTACCAAGCCACGTGGCTAAACATAGCTAAGAATTATGGGTTAATTTAAGTTGTAAGAGTTTGTTAGTAATAAGCCTGAGCAATAGGCCAAAGGGTTCATAATTAATATAAACCTCTGTGTGTTTATTTGGGACTGAACAGCTGCAGGAATAGGGGAGACAGAAACTTCTTTAACATGAAAGTCTTATTCCTTACTCATAATGAAAAGTCACTAACAGCTAGAAGAGAGGGAGATGAATAAAGAGGACAAAGGTGATGGGGAATGTATTTCTGTGTATGTTCATCTTATTGATTGTACTGTTTGGCCAATGAGGTAGCAAGTTAAATGGGACTAGGAGTCAAGGAGGATTCTGGGAAATGTAGTAAAGAAGTGGTGATCTAGGCAGGAAGTGACATAGCAGGGAGATTCATATTTAAACAAGGACAAGCAGGAAGTAGTTCCTTTTCTCCTTCGCTCTTCCTCCTGCTCTCTGCTCTGAGCCACCATGTGATCCCCGGGATGAGGACACCATCAGAAGGCGTCCGGTAAGTCTTATGAAATATATAGATTTATGATAATTAAAACTGAGCTAGCAGATGAAAATCCTAGACAATGGCCAAGCAGCATTTGTACCTAATATAAGTCTCTGTGTATTATTTTGGCCATCCACGTGACGGGCAGAACTCAAATGGGTGGTGGAAAGATTTATCGTAACACAAAGGAGAAATGGAGGTGAAAGGGACAGACACCAGAGAAATACTCTGGCCAAGAGGAAAGAGGCAACCTTTTGCTTTCTTTGGTGGGAAGAAAGTTAAAAGCAAACCACACAGAGATGCTCTACTGTGGAAATTCTGAGAGCACTAATGCTTGACTTGATCTGAGCAGAACCCTGTTCAAGGGGTCAATCTGAGGCCTGCCAGCAAGCTTCAGTCAGATGTGACCTATGTCCTGGCACACAAAGGTAGATTATTAAAAGCTAATGGAGCCACGAAGTATGTTCACACAAAGGAATGCGTCAACATTTTGCTGCATGTCTGGCTCTGAACTCTTTCCTCCCTCCTCCCCTCCCCTCCAGGCCTGTTCTTGCAGGTGCTTGGCTTCACTCTCTCAATTTCAATTAATGCCAAAACCACAAGCATTCTTAACAGCTCTTCTTGGGGGACTGAGTTCTCCCTGGGTAAAAAGGGCTGAGTGGTGACAGCACAGATAATAGTTTAGAGAAAGATTTGCACTGCCTGGGACATGGCATCAAAGTTTCTTTCCCTGTGGAACTTCTACCAGCCCTAAACCCTATCACAAGGTTGGAGTGGCCTCTACCACACACCAAGTCTAAATTTTGTAGAAATGCTGAGTTCTCAATAGCTTTCCTATCTCTCTTTTTTAAGATCTATTTTTATTTTATGTGTATGGGTGTTTTGCTGCATGTATACATGTGGACCACACATGCACAGTGCCTGAAGAGGCCAGAAGATAGCATCAGATCCCCTGAAACTGGAATTATAGTTGTCAGTCACCATGTGGGTGACTGGGAATTGAACTTGTGTCCTGTGGAAAAGCAACCAGTGTTCTTAACTGTGAGCTATCTCATATGCCCATCTTTTTTCTTAAAATTTAGTTAGTCCCCATTAAAGAAATTCCATACAGAGAAACCTTGTCTCGAAAAACCAAAAAAACAAACAAACAAACAAAAAAACCAAGAAAAAAAATTCCAATAGGAAATGGACATGGTGGCGCATGCCTTTAATCCCAGCACTCAAAGATAGGCAGATCTCTGTGAGTTCTGCACAGTGAGCACCAGGCCAGCCTAGACTACATTCTAAGAACCTCCAAAGGGGGAGGGGTGCTGGACAAATGGTGTGGTGGTTAAGAGGGCTTGCTGCTCTTCCAGAAGACCCAGATTTAGATCTTAGCACCTATACAGGTAGCTCACAACTGCCTGTAACTGCCGATCCAGAGGACCTTTTTTGCCTCAATGGGCTTCTGCACACATACATACACATAAACACGTAAGTATAAATAAATCTTTAATTTTAAAAAGTTATTGGGCTGGGTGTTGGTGGTGCACGCCTTTGGTCCCAGCACTCAGGAGGCAGAGGCAGGAGGATTTCTGTGAGTTCGAGACCAGCTTGGTCTATAACTGCTAGTTCCAGGACAGCCTCCAAAGCCAAAGAGAAACCCTGTCTCAAAAAACCAAAAAAAAAAAAAAAAAGTACACATGAGGTGACTGACACCTAGTCTATGGAGCTGCCATATACTGTCTGTTCTTTGTAGCAAAGAAACTGGCCTACTAGAGCAAAGGTTTCTGATCAATAAAGTCAGCTTCAAAACTATTAACAGAAAAAAAAAAACAAAGAAATAATAAGACATGGCCAGGTGGAGTGGGGGAGCACACCTTAAATCCCAACACTTGGGAGGCAGAGACAGTTGGATCTCTGTGAGTTCTAGGCTAGTCTGGTCCCCAGAGCGAGTTCCACAACAGCCAGAGCTAAACACACAGAAAACCCTGTTTTGAAAAACCAAAAAAGAAATAAGATGTATCCAAAGGCAACATTTTTGTCTCGTTAGATTTGGGGCCTCCTCTCTCAAGTTCAAAGGCCAGCATACACACCTTGGTTAAATTGTTCTGGTAGATAGTGTTCAGGCGGCTCACATAGGCATCACGCTTCTCCTTGATGACACTGTAAAGAGACTGAGTCAGTACTCAGAAATAGTATTTTCTGAAGATGGAAGTTTCTGTCCTGCCCAGTCCCACAGCCGTTTAGTCCCAAATAAACAGAGACTTATATTAATTATAAATTGTTTGGCTGATGGCTCAGGCTTCTTATTGGCTAGCTCTCTCTTAATTATTAAACCATTTCTATTAATCTGTGTATCTCCACATGGTCTTTACTTACTGTTGATGCCCAGACCTCTGACTTCCTCTGCAGCTACATGGTGTCTCTCCTCAGGGCTCACTGCTAGCTTTCCTGTGTTCCTCCTCCTAGCTTTCTCCTAGTCCGCTCACCCTGCCCATACTTCCTGTCTGGCTACATCCTGCCTGTTCATTAGCCGAAACAGCTTTATTCATCAACCAGTAAGACAAACATATAGTCACAGCATATACAAGGACATCCCCCATCAATTTTCTTTCTTCACCTAGTAGCCAGGGTATCAGCTTCCATGACCACTGAGTGTTCATAAGAACAAAGTGAGCAACTGTCTGAAGACAGGTGTCTTGTGTCAGATGCTTCTCAGTGCTGCTCTTCCTGAGGTCCTAAGTTCAATTCCCAGCACCCACAGGGTGGCCTACAACCATCTATAATGAGATCTGGTGCCCTTTTCTGGCCTGCAGGCATACAGGGAGGTAGAATACTGTGTACATAATAAATAAAATCTTTTTTAAAAATCAGGCATAAGGCTGGGTGTTGGTGGCGCACACCTTTAATCCCAGAACTCAGGAGGCAGAGGCAGGCGGATCTCTATGAGTTCGAGGCCAGCCTGGTCTCCAGAGCAAGTGCCAGGATAGGCTCCAAAGCTACACAGAGAAACCCTGTCTCGAAAAACAAAACAAAACAAAACAAAACAAAAAATCAGGCATAAGGAGAAAATATGATTCTACTTAGTATCTAACACAGTTAAGTCTGCTTAACAGGAAGCAGAACATGTTTCCACAGGCTGGTTGTGAAGTAGAAAACCTGGAGTTACTATTTAATGGCAATCACCAGGATTATGGGAAAGTTCTGGAAATTCCTAAGTGGTGCTGTCTATACAAGAGTGTGTATGTGCTTAAAGTCTAACTGTGTATTTACAATGATTAAAATAGCCAATTTTATGTTATACACAAATATAGACACACATACACTGATATACTTATGGCAATAGGGACTAAACCCAGGCCCTTACACAGTCTACGCAAGAACTCTTAAACTAAGCTACACTCCCAGCCCTGTACATATTTGGACACAGTAAACCTCTACCTCTCAAAGTAAGACTGGGTTTCAGAAACCCGTTCCTCATAAATGGAACCATTTGGACATGAACACTTACTGCCAATTGAATTTACTCTCACAATTCTGAAAGCCATAATCCATGTGATCGTGCATGAATTCTGAGTGGACAGCTGTGTTCCACATTACCTATAAAAAAAAAAGTATGCGAATTAGTCACACTTGTGTGCTGAAGAAAGATAAAAACCATGAGGGAACCATAACATGTAAAAATAGTGACCTTGGAGATAAGTAACAACTAAATACATTAGGAGAGAAGATTTGGGGTCTGGTAAATAGATTTCATAATAAGGATTTGGAAATATTGAGAAAAATGACACCTACCATTAAATTACAAAGACTATAAATATGATAAAAAATAGAATTTTTTAAAAAGATTTATTTATTTATTATGTATACAGTGTTCTGGCTGCATGTATCCCTGCAGGCCAAAAGAGGGAACCAGATGTCATTACAGATGATTGTGAGCCATCATGTGGTTGCTGGGAATTGAACTCAGGACCTCTGTAAGAGCAGCCAGTGCTCTTAACCTCTGAGCCATCTTTCCAGCCCCTAAAAAGTAGAATATTACTGGTGGCATAATTGTTCCTTTAAAGTATTTTATTATTGCTTATGCTTTTTGTTTACTATTGCTCTTTTTTAAATTTTGTATTTTTGTAAGCTTTCTCCTTTTTCATTTAGTTTCAGGAAAGAGAACACAGCTTAACTTTGCTAGTTTATAATGTAGAAGAAAAGGCACAAGGCAAGTTGAGAGTTTAAAAGTTAAATGTAATAAATCCTATTCTGCAGCCAGTAGCTGCCAATCTACCCGTTTAAGGACTTATGTGACCAGACACTTTAACAGAGGCCACATGTATCTCTGGAATACAGCTCATACTCTCGAGGCTGTTTATGCCAAGTGAGCCTCAAAGTACAGTTCAAACTGGCATCCAGAACTCTAGGCAACAGACAACAGCTATTAACCATTTTATCTGTCAGATTAATGCATGTGGAGGATTTACCAATGCCACGAATTAATTACATTAATAAGCATCACTTTACCCTCGGTCATCCTGCGGTATTACACTTATTTACTTCCATGTCACATGATGCACCACACAGGTACACTAAACACCCTCTGGAGAGTACCTCTTTGTCAACTGCTACAGGCTTTTTGGCTCAGACCTATTTAGCATGGCAGTGGCAAATTAGGCCCAGCCTCTAGTTCCGGGCTATTGCTCTTTCCCTCTACCCTTCTGACAAGAGTTATTTTAGGCTGTTGTGCTAATTAAGAGGCAATTACCAGGGTGCAGAGGAGCCTGTCTTTAATCCCAGCACTATGGAGGCAGAGGCAGAAGGATCTCTGCAGGTCTGTGGCCTCCATCAGATTGGCCTGTAGGTTAAGTCTGTGGGGCATTTTCTTGATTAATGATTGTGGTGGTTTGAAAGAAAATGGCCCCCAAAGGGAGTGGCACTATTGGGAGGAGTGGCCTTTTTGGAGGAAGTGTGTCATTGTAGAGGCGGACTTTGAGGTCTCATATATGCTCAAGCCATAGCAGTGTCACAATTCAATTCCTGTTACCTTTAGATAAAAATGTAGAATTTCCCAGCACCATGTTTGCATGTGGTGGAAGGGAGGAAGGGAGGGAGGGAAAAGAAACACATGCTACACCTCCTTCCCACCCCACCTCTAATTCCCTAATAATTGTTATGTTTGGTACACCCTTATTCTGATCATGCTTTATTAAACATGAACAAGGAATATTTCGGGAAGGAGAAATTAAACATTTACCTTTTTGGGGACACATCCGACATTCACCTAGGGAAAAATTTTTTAAAAGGCACAGGTTAAAAATGGCCAATCCAAGTCATGCAAACATCTGTAAGAATGAATGCCAATGATCACAGAGTCACCCCCGAGACCAGACACAACTGGTAATAGTCACAATGATCCTACAGTTACTTCCTTTTCCTAACACAATCATGTTGTGTTCCTCGTGTGACAGAACATTTTTATCCATTTTTCTCAAGGGGGGGCAGTGGAAAGACAAAGGGCAATAGGTCCATTTAAGCAAGGAGTTTAGGCAATCTCTGTGAACTCAGATGGCTGAGTACACACTAGGCCAGGCCATAGTGGCACATGCCTTTGATCCCAGCACTTGGGAGGCAGGTAGATCTCTGGGAGTTCGAGTCTAGCCTGATCTACAAAGCGAGTTCCAAGACAGCTAGACTACACAGAGAAAGAAACCCTGTCTCAAATGAATAAATAAGAAAGAGAGAGAGATTAAGGAGAGGGAGAGAGAGGGAAAAGAAACACATTCTACACCTCCTTCCCACCCCACCTCTAATTCCCTAGTAGCCTCTGAAACACTATAATGCTCTGAACCACTTGGACCCATTTTGGTTTTACTACTCACCTAAGTCTGAAGCAACTTTGAGCATAGTTGGTTTAAAACTTTGTGGGCAGGATAATGATGCATGATGTTACCCTGGGAGGCACTGACAGAACTAACATGCTTTCCAGGGCAGCCTGGGCTACATGAAATCCTAAATTTAACAAATGAAAAAGTCTAGAATATATGCTTATGTTCAGGGTCAAGATGGTCAAACCTACACTACTGACTGCTAAGGTCTACCTGGTTTATTTTAAAGAAGTTTCTGCCCCCCAACCCCCTTTTTAAAACTTGGACCTATTCATTCATTTCAGAATTCATGAAGCATCCACTTACCAGGCACTGTGCAAGGTAACGCCCTATGTGGATCTAATCCCAGAGCTTGTGTGTGTGTGTGTGTGTGGGGGTGTCTCCCAAGCTCTAAACTTATCTAAGGTGTCCACGCAATCAATCAAAAGAAAAAATGGGGAGGGTGATAGAAAACTGCAACCTTCCTGGGCCAGAGAATCTGCACTGCAGTGTCCCTGTGTATACTTTAGAGCCTGGATACATAAAAGAGGGCGGAGATCCTGAAATAGCTCTTGTCCTATTTTGGCAGTTCTGGAGAACAGGCTTCCAGAGGTATTTGCTGGTTTTGGAAACCAAGCCCTACCCCTCTCAGCATGACAGCAGATACCTCATTGACTTGGAAAGAATAAAGTACAGCCAAGGATCATCAGACCTGGAGAGACCAGGGCTAAGGAGCTCTGTACACACAGCTGCACATGGTCCTTTCTCCTGCTGGTCTTCCCCTTCTCTAGCTGACATACACACATTAGGTCTGGGAGCAGGACCCGAGCCAACCAGACACTTTGGTGCCTGGTACACCTGCAATACTAGCAAATGGAAATGGCAGTAGTAGGATCAGGAGACAAAGGCCAGCAGCATCAGCTACATCATGAGTCCGAGGCAAGCCTGGGCTACATGTGAGTCTGTCTCAAAAAAGAAGAATTTTAACGTAAAAGTATGGCTGGAGAGATGGCTCAGAAGTTAAGAGCATATACTGCTCTTCCAGAGGACCCCGGTCTGATTCTCAGCTTGCAGGCCAGGTGGCTCACAACTACTTGTAATTTTGTGGTTCCCAGGGGCATCTGACACCTCTGATCTCTGTGGGCACCTCCATGAATTCACACACACACATTTAAAGGCTGGAGATGGCTCAGTAGTTCTGAGCCCTGGCTGCTCTTCCAGAGGTTCAATTCCCAGCACCCACATGGCATTTCACAACTGCTTATAACTCTGATTCCAGGGATCTGAGACCCTCACACCAATGCACATAAAAATTAAGTTAAATTAATAATAAAAATGTAAAATCCAGACGACTCATTTTTTAGTCCCCTCCCACCTACAGGGACCTGGGGGTTTTTTTTGGGGGGGGCGCGGTGGTTTTCGAAACAGGGTTTCTCTGAAGGTTTGGAGACTGTCCTGGAACTCTTTTTGTAGACCAGGCTGGCCTTGAACTCACAGAGATCCACCTGCCTCTGCCTCCCAAGTGCTGAGATTAAAGGCGTGTACCACCAACTGGGGGGGGGGGTGACTGTTTTTTTACTTCTGAACAAGCTGCTTGTTTGCCCTTCAAAAACATTTTTTTTAAATAAAAATATAGAGCCGGTGGTGGTAGTGTGGGCCTTTAATCCCAGTACTTGGGAGGCAGAGGCAGGGGGATCTCTGTGAGTTCGGGGTCAGCCTGGTCTACAGAGCAAGTTCCAGGACAGGCTCCAAAGCTACTGAGAAACCCTGTCTCAAAAAAAAAAAAAAAAAAAGCCCAATAAATAAGAAAATAAATAAAAATATATAGTAATATCACAGTAAGACAGCCAATCAACAAGGCAAATGGCCAAAGTTAAGTATTACTTGTTACCAACTCCAACCATTTCCCCACTTTACAACCACTTTTTTATTGTCTCATTTATGGAGCTCTAAATCCACAAAGCAAATGACGGCAATTTTCTGTCTTTAAGGAGAACCTATTGGAACCAAAGGAAATGAACTTCCTTTACACTGGGCTGTTTAGAAAGCCACATTGAGAAATCAAAGTGCATGCTGTTGACAATCGAGATTATGATCTGAATATTGCTAAGTCATTGTTTGCTGACTAGATGAGCCATAATCTACTGGGCAGTCCTTTCCCAGACCTGCCCTGTGGGTTTCTCTGCAGCACTGTGCAGCCCAGTTCACAGTAACTTTGCCAGTCAGTCAACCCTTAGCGTCCCCTTCCTGGCAAGATGTACCGACCCCCACAAGAACTGGGTTCCTCCTAGTCCCAGACAGAGTTGGTGCAAGCATTGGAGTGTGAGCTCCCTTGGGGCAAAGGAGCGCATTTCTCTTCCAAGGTCTGAGTGGGGAGAGGACCACCACCTTGGGATGTGTGACCAGGAGAAACACTGGTTTGTGATTTTGAGAGGCTTTGGAAGTGAACTCAAAGATCATCTCTAATGTGTTTCTTCTGGCCTCAGGGATAACTCCAGTGCACTGGGCAGTAAGGGATTATCTTTAATTCTAGGGGTAAAGATTCTGGGGGAAAAGGATACAACTTCTTTTGGTTCTCTCCCATCCCCCACCTGCAGCTGGTTTTTGTTTTTAAACTGATCCAACACCCTACAACCACATTTGGTTTTTGTTTGTTTGCTCGCCTTTGGAAAATTCAGGAGGAACTCTAGTGGACCCATGCTATTGGTTCGATGAATGTTTTTCTCTGTGGCTCAGCTTAGCAGCAGTTCTGATCCCTACAGTTTTCAGTTGAATACAGGGCAAGGTTGTCTCCTAGCTGGCTTCTTACCACATCTCTCACCATCAAAGCCTTAAAAAAACAGATTCTATTTGGGAAAAAAAAAGTGAGCCCTGAATGGAAAAAAAATGCCTATCATTCCAGCACTTGGGAGGCTAAGGCAAAAGGATGGCAAATTTGAGGCCAGCCTGGACTACAAAGTAAGACCCTGTCTCAACAACAACAACAACGGGGCCGAGCTGCCACCAACGGTCTCATATGAGTCTGTGGCCTGACTGCAGCTGGAGTCTGTTGATGTCTGTGGCCTGTGTTACCACCAAGAGCCCTGTGGATTTTTGTTGTCTGGGCCTCAGCCAGAGGCCATATGATCTAAGGGGCTTGAGCTGCCACCTGAGGCTGTGATGACATCTCGGCTGGGGCTGAGGGCCATGTCTGGATCCCTGGTCCTACTGCAGCCGGGGTCTGTGTTGATTTCTATGACCCGAGTTACCACCAAAAAGCCATGCAGGTGTCTGTAATCTGGAATGCTGCCTTAAGCCACTTGATGGCAGAGGGTGGTGCTGAGCTGGCCCCACCCCTAGCTGGTAGTAGGGGAGTCTCAGTGAGGGTCCAGAATTGATGATGTAGCAGAAGCCACAGGCCTTGAACCAGACCAGCGACTCATTGCAGCGAACATTTGCAAGCAAAGCTGTTTGGGCAAAATCATATCCTTTGTGACACAATGCAACTCTCAAGGCCATTTGAATATGTGATGGAGGCTTGGGAGAGAAAGAGGATTGAAGTGTCACACATGGCTGAGACTGGTATAAGGAAATGCTGTGGTCAATAGGAGCAGGGGGGGTCTTAATGTTATTTTGTGTTTTAAATTTTATTTTATTATTTTAAATTTGTATTTATTTCATTTTATTTAGTATTTGGTCTTTCGAAACAGGTTTTCTCTATGTAGCCCTGAGTGTCCTGGAACTGTAGACCAGGCTCATAGAGATCCCCAGCCTCTGCCTCCAGAGTACTGGAATTAAGGGCGTGCTCCACCACCACCTAGCATTTAATTTTAATTTTTAAACTTTCCTTAATTTAAAATTTAAATTTCTTATATTTTGCAGGGGGGAGGCTACAAGGGTGGAGGGCAGACATGGAAAGACTGGGAAATGAATGGGAACAGGGAACAAGATGTGAAATTCCCAAAGGATCAATTTTTTAAATTATGTTTAAAAAATAAATCTTTTTAAAAACCAAAAGCAAACAAACAACCTATAGTCATACAGGACTGATGAATCTCCAAAGATTCCAATGATCCCAAACATTCACATTCAAAAAAAGTTAAGCCAAAAAGCAAGAAAAAAACAAAAACAACAATAAAAAGTCCATCACCACCAGCTCCCATAACATATTTTTCCCAGTTAAGAACATGGGCCACTCTTGCTGAAGACCAAATGATGGTTCCCAGCATCCAGGTTGGACAGTTCATAACTGCCAGTAATTCTAGCTCTGTGGGGAATCTAGCCTCTGTGGGCACATGTACATACCATCCCTCAATACACACATACATATCTACAAAATAAAAATGAAGTTTTGTAACAGATTTTTATGTATTTAAGTGTTTGCCGGCAAATAGGGATGTGTAGCATGCGTGTGCCCAGTGCCTGAGGAGGTTAAAAG